TCATCTCACCTCCAGACAGGAGTTGCCCATTTAGTCTCATGTATCTACTTGAGCTAAGAAGCACACTCTTCACGAGTACCATTTTATGTCCCATAGTCCAGTCTAATCTTTGACTGAAGAGTTGGCCTTGGGAATGGTTTTAGGGCTGGGTTGACAGAGAGTCCGGGGGCCATGCTTTCTGGGGTTCCTCCAGTCTCAGACCATTAAGTCTGGTCTTTTTATGAGAATTTGAGTTCCGCACGCCACTTTTCTCCTGCTCCATCAGGGACTGTTTGTTGTGTTCCTGTCAGGGTGGTTATTGGTGGTAGCCGGGCACCATCTAGTCCTGGTCTCAGGCTGATGCAGTGGCCCTTTCTGTCTCGGGCTAATGCTTTCCTTGTGACTTTGGTGTTTTTCATTCTCCTTTACTCCAAGTGGTTTGGGACCAATTGATGGTAAGGCAGACACTTTAAATTGATTTCCTAGCACCGCTGATGGATTTACCTAAAGCCATTCACCTTCCGTTTGGTTCCTTTCTTATTGGCACATATCCACGAAGTGATAGTTCCAGTTCATATTACACAACAGCGAAATCCAATGATCCATTTGGGCACACCCCTCTGAGTATAGCTTGCAAGTACTTTCCCCACTGAAGAGCAACCAAACCCCTATTCTAGTGTTCAATCTAGAATAACTGCTTCATTCATGGTCTGACTCTTAATGGTTGACAAACAACAGATCTCAGAGAATATCTTGAAGAAAATTTCCCCCTTTCCAATTCTACCATGTTTTAGCTTCAGGGTCCCTAAAACAACCTCCCCCCACCCCAAAAAAAAATCCTTTAAGAAATAGATAACTTGTACAAATTAATTAAAGCAACAGGAGTGATGGTTAAGGGCCAGTTATCAAACTCCTGTGTTAAAAATCAGATACCTCTTAGGAAGTGTTTATTGGTTGGACAAATATTTATTCAGAACTTATGTTCTATACACTGATTTATGCAAGGATAAAATACTGAGCAAAAAACAGTCACAGTTCTGCCATCAAGGTACTCATTGCCCAGTATTAGGGCACATTCCCACTACAGTGTGAAACGCATTGAGAAGGAATAAGTTTCAAAAGGTTAAAAAAACATTGCTGTCTTGCAAATATGAAGTGAACACCTGTTAAGTATTTCATTCAACTCATTAATTAGTGAGATAACCTGTAAAATGTTAAAACTAGTTCCAGGACTGGAGACAATATGGGGAGACTAGAACCCTTATCCATTGACGCCGGGATTGTAAAATGTTATAACCTCTATGGAAGACAGTATGGAACTTCTCAAAAAAACTAGAAATAGACTTACCTTATGAGCCAGAAATCCCACCCCTAGGTGTATACCCTAGAGATCTAATAGCTGTGACACAAACAGGCATATGCACACCTATTACTATTCACAAGAGCAAAAAGATGGAAACAACCTAAGTGCTCATCAACAGATGAATGGATAAACAAATTATGGTACATACATACAATGGAATACTATGCAGCCATAAAGAATAATGATGAGTACTCAAAACATAATATGGATGAATCTAGAGGACATTATGCTGAATGAAATAAGTCAATCACAAAAGGGAAAATATTTTATGATCTCATTTTTATAAAAAGATAAGAATAGGTATATATACAAAGACTAACATTCATTGGTGGATACCAGGGATGGTGGGGGGGAAGGACAAGGGAATCACTCTCTAGATAGTAGGCAGCTGTTATTTTTGGTGACGAGAAATGCAACACCGTGAATGGTGAGTGTGTACAGCCTGACCAAGGCAAAAGACATCACTAAGATGTACACAAGAAGAAAGGACCCTTTGATAATTGCTATGGAATATATAATGTTGCAACAACAACAACAACCAAAAAATATATATGGGTATATATGTATGTATATATGCGTATATGTGTACGGGTATGTATATGGGAGTATATATACGGGGGTTAATATAGATGTATGTATATGTATATGCATGTATATGTGTGCATGCTTATATATTCATATATATATATAAAGTACATGGGAGGAACAGTTACGGATACTACTTGTTGTTGTTATTAGGTGCCGTCGAGTCAGTTCTGATTCATAGTAACTATGAACAACAGAATGAAACACTTCCCAGTCCTGTGCCATCCTCACAATTGTTGCTATGTTTGAGCCCATTGTTGCAGCCACTGCCAGTCCAGACATAACCAAATACCTCGTGGGATTGGTTTTCTAGGTTTGAAGGCTTTAGACCATAGTCTCATGGAACAACTCAGTCAATTGGCATAATATAGTTCATAAAGTTTATGTTCTACATCCTAATCTGGTGAGTAGAGTCTGGGGTCTTAAAAACTTGCAGTCATCTAAGATACAACAATTGGTCTCTCCTCATTCCGGAACAAAAGAGAGAGAAGGAAACCCAAGACACAGAGAAGAAATCAGTCTACAGGACTGTCTACACTAACCACAGCCTTATCTACTCTGAAACCATGAGAATTAGATGGTGCCCAGCTACCACTATGAATCATTCTGATAGGGGCGACAATAGATGGATCCTGATAGAATGGGAGACAAATGTGGAACAGAACCTCAAATTCTTAAAAAATCCAGAATTACTGGACTAGTTGAGACTACAGGACTCCCTGAGACTATTGCCCTGAGATACTCATTAAACCCTGAGCCAAAACTATCCCCTGAAGTTACATTTTAGCTATATGACAGATTGGCTCACAAAATAAAGAGTATCACCTGTGAGTACTGTGCTTCTTTAAAAAATCATCTCTGTGAAACCAAAAGGTCAACAATTACTTTTAAGAAATAAAAACTGAGAAGGTAAGTGGGCAGGGAAACTAGATTACTGGAAGCAGAACATCTGGAATGGAAATAATGCAAATTTTCATGCTTTGTGAAGAATGTTAACCAATTGTCTCAGTCATCTAGTGCTGCTATAACAGAAACACCACAGGTGGATGGCTTTAACAAAGAGAAATTTATTCTCTCACAGTCTAGTAGGCCAGAAGTCCAAATTCAGGGCATCAGCTCCAGGGAAAGTCTTTCTCTGTTGGCTCTGGAGGAAGGTCCGTGTCATCAATCTTCTGGGAGCGTCTCAGCTCAGGAACCTCAAGTCCAAAGGATGTGCTCTGCTCCTGGCACTGCTTTCTTGGTGATAGGAGGTCCCCAACTCTCTGCTTGCTTCCCTTTCCTTTTATCTCTTGAGAGATAAAAGGTGGTGCAGGCCACACCCTAGGGAAACTCCCTTTATATTATATCAGGGATGTGACCTGGGTAAGGGTGGTGTTACAATCCCACCCTAATCCTCTTTAACATAAAATTACAATCACAAAATGGA